AATTCTAATGCTGAGGGTACTGTAAATTTCAAGTCTCATAATTCGAGATATATATACTTAACAAAAAAATACTTTATTTAGTGTTTTGGAAAGCTCTTGAAGTAAACTACAAGAATATGCAATAAAAAATAGAAGATTCCATTTTAAAAATTTAACTTGATTTTTATATGATCTTGCAAACTCCACTCAAAGTCAAACTCTTATCACCGTTAAACACATTTTATTTAGTTGTACAACTTTGTTTTTTATATATTTTTTGCTTATATAACTGATCATTTTTGAGATATTTTAGAGTTTTCGGACTTTTTGAGGATTTTGGATAAATAATATATATTATTATCTAATCAATATATTTTATATGTTATATATATTTAAAATATTTAACATATACATATGTATAAAAATTATAAATAAATATATTTTATATATATAATTATTATATATTTTTATATTTATATTTTTTACTAATACTTAGCTCGTGCTATACTAACAAGCCTAACAAGGGAACCTCGCGAAGTGTTAAATTCATATTTTAATAAAACTTTTTACACTTATAGGTTACGTAAATAGGTGAATTTAAAAAATATTAATTTGTGCTAAAAAACAGTTTGAAAGATTGAAATTACCTCTCATATGTAAAGCAGTTTTCAGTTCTTTTCGTTATATCTTGAGAACTATTTAAGATCGGTATCAAAGAATATTTTGCATTTTATGTAAAACATTAATTCCACGTAACATGTGGAAATAATACGCTCGTAGCATTTATAGGTATACATTAAAATCAGAATTTGACAATTTAACTTTGTTATAAAACTAGTTATATTATATACACATATAGATATTGGTCAAATATAGTTTTATATATATTGTTTTCCGTGACAAAACGATATGATTTCTACATGCGGAAATGTTGTTTTATTGTTTTTCGTGACAAATTAAACGTTATCATTTCCACGTGTGGAAATTGTCACGATTTTGTCACTTTCTATAGAAAAACGATATTTAACTTTTTTCGTTATATCTCGAAAACTTCAAAATATTGAAAAATGTTTTATACAAAAATGTTACAGTAAAATTATAGCTATTCATTTACGTTGATAATTATTTTTAAAAATATATTGAAAATAAAAATTTTGTAAAATGCTAACTTAAAATATTAACTTAAATAAATAGAGATAATATTACTGTAAAATTTTTGTATAAAACATTTTTTGATATCTTGAAAAGTTTTCAAGATATAACGAAAAAAATCTGAAAATTGATTTACATATAAAGGATGATTTCACCCTTCCAAATCATTTCTTAGCATCAACTAATATTTTTTAAATTCGTCTATTTATGTAATCTGTAAGAGTACAAAGTTTTATTAAGATCAGGATTTAACACTTCACGAGGTTCCCTCGTAAGCAGAGCTATATAAATAACGTATTGCACACATTATTATATTACATACGTATATTAGATATTTCTGTTAGATAAACGATATTGCAAAAAGTTTGAACTTATCAAATTGCTTGGATACATTGGCAAGCAAATTAAGCGGTGGCGAACGGAAGAGACTCTCTATCGGCGTAGAAATGATCGCCAAGCCATCCGTTTTTTTATTAGATGAACCAACAAGCGGCCTCGACAGTGTGACTTCTAATCAGGTATATAAATTATTAATGCAGTTACGTATTAACAACGATTGTATTTACAAAGGCGTTATTCGATATTAACTGACATAAATCGAAATGTTTATCTTTTGTTATATTCTGCTAATAATTCTATACAACAAACCATCAATATTGCAGCAACGTTGCAACGTTGAAACGTTATGATGTTTCGCTTTGCAGTATTGTTTAATCTTAATATGCCTTTAATATTCCACATCGGAATATAAGATTTGCTTTGAATAGCTAATTAACTTGCTGCACGATATGGCGAGAACGAACTGCACTGTGGTTTGTGCGATACATCAACCCAGCAGGAAAATGATTTCGCTCTTTGATGACATTATGGTACTCAATCGAGGCAGATGTATGTATTGCGGCCCAAAGAGCGAGATCTTAAAAACATACAATATTGCTGGATTTACGTGTCCCAACTTCTGCAATATAGCCGAATTTGGTAATATTGACTCTATCATCGACTTGATAAAAAAAATTAAAGAAAGACAAAAGAATTAGTAAAAAAGCATTTACATATAGAGTTATACGCACAACTTTTCTTTAATTAAAAATTTTTTTTTTTTATATTTCCTACGCAACATAATTTTTTTAATAAGAAGAATACAATTTGTAATTAATTTCAAAAAATAGTATTATTTTTTATTTAGTATTGCAATAAGCATCATAACAAGAAATATGAACATTTGTGTAATAATATTATTATTATTACGATTTAAATCTTTGGGAAATGTATACTTTTAAAATAAACTTATATAAATGTTTAATAAATAGTATTCATTATTTAAAAATCTATTTAATCATATTTAAATTGTAATGAATACATGTTAATATGTTGTCGAGTTTTCTTATATTTTAAAAATTAAAATTTTTAAAGATATCACATAGGTAATTATAAAAAACGATAGATAATTGATTTCTAATTGCAGTGCTTGAGGTAATAACCGGACAAATGAATGGAGATTTGGAGAATCTGCACAAGATATGTCGTAATGAATACGAAAAGTTCAGATCACGCAATGAACATAATAAAGAAGGTAAAAAATATAACATTAATAAAATTAATCGACATAAGAGTACAATGTTTAAATAATAAAATATAATATATACGGTTTTATTATTTAAACATTGTATTCTTATGTCGATTAATTTTATTAATTAATAATAAATTATTAATATTTATTGTAGTAATTATATCGTATACTAATTTATACGTAATCATTTATCTTGCTTAGCGATTACTATAATAATAAAAGTTAATATTTTGTCTTTCAAATACCTACTGCAGATTCTCAGAAGTATAGGATATCAAAGTTGAATGTCTTGCGTATGATATAAAATTAATATCATTTAAAAAGCATGAAAATGTTAAGCAAAATAACTCATAAAAATATAAAAAACAAATTTTTCAATTTTTTTAAATAATTTTGAGCAATTAACTGGTTTTTTATAGAATTGGATTCATTGACTAATTTCAAACAAAAATGTAAGACAGACAATAAAGATATATCTATAAATAGCATAATACAAAAAAAATCGACTTGGGAAGAACAAAAGATTTTATTTTTACGAACTCTAATTTGCATCAAGCGAGATAATGTGAGTAAAAACTTTTGAAAAGTATATTTGAACTATTGTGATTTGAGAAATCAAAATGCTGCTTTTTTTATTGACTTTATAGATGTTGACAAAACTAAGATTTGCGATACACGTCGTAATCGGGTTGGTATTAGGGATAATCTTTTATGACTTCGGTGACAAAGCAGAAAGAGTCACGAGCAACATCTCTTGTTTATTTATCATTCTGATGGTTACATTTTTCTTAAACTCCGTACTGACAGTGCTAACAAGTAAGTGATATAAATTTATCGTTTATGTATAAACATAATGTATGTATAATTTATGTTATTTAATTGTTAATACAACAAATAACTAAATTGTTTCTGTTTTTTTTCTAAAAAAAAACTGATAAAATCTTTGACAAGATAAATTGACTAAATTGTATGACTTTTTTCTAAAAAAAAAAAAAAAAAAACTGATAAAATCACTTTGACAAGATTCTCAACTTACTATTCTAAATTATGATTCCTAAATACGTTTCAATGCAAATTTTATAAATAATTTTATTGTGTTAAATGCATCTAACCGTCATATCTAACTGTAGTTCCCACGGAAGCGGCAGTATTTTTACAGGAACATTTAAATGATTGGTACTCTTTGAGATCTTACTACAGCGTAAAAGTATTAACAGATCTCCCGATGCAAGTATGATATAATTTAGCACTAAAATTTTGTTACTATTTATTTCTTTTCAGAGATAATGTTCTAGCTAATATTAGATTGTAATAAAATAAGTTGTCTTTTTAATTACTTCTTAAATCAATTAACATTTTGTTTACTTTCTAGATACTTTGCACCTCATTTTTTGTGCTTATATTATATTATATGACAGGACAGCCAATGGAATATGATAGAATTTTAAAAGTATGGAGCGTTTGCCTATTAACGATGATTATTGGATTAACGTTCGGGATATTTCTAGGCGCAGCTTTTGGTGCTGAGGTACTTTAACAACGTATCTTTTATTATTTTAATTAATATTTATGTACGTTATTAAAAAGGCTACAAAAGAAACTATACAATTTAACATTACACATTACAATATTATATGGAAAAATATTGCGGCTTTAATTATTTATAATAGGAATGAATTACTTATAAAATCATTAGATAATTTTTATAATAACAAGTTTTCCAGATGATTGATAAAATAATTGATAGTAACAAACAAATTTTTCAATTTAATTTAATATAATATGAAAAAATAATGATTAAATATAATTTCTTTCAGATAGGGGTATTTATAATTCCGGTAACAAATATAGCATTTGTTCTATTTGCTGGATTTTTCTTGAAAACAGACGAAATACCGATATACCTACAGCCCTTAAGCACTGTAAACTTTTTCAGGTGCAATTTTATACCACAGCAATTATTAATTCAAAACTTACGTAATATTTAAATTTGTTAATATTTCTGTATAATTTTTTTTGTACAAACCATTTTTTATAGTTACAGTTATTTAATTGTCAATAATTATTGTTTCTACAGTACCTTAAATTTGTGTAGCAATATATTTTTATTTTATTTTTTATTTATTGCATTTTCTTAATTAACATAAAATTTTATTGCAGATACGCATTTGAAGGAGTAATGCAGGCGGTCTACCTTGATCGACCAGATCTATCATGCTTGAAAATCAATTGTTACTGGAACTCGCCGAAAGAGATTCTCTCAATGATGGACATGCCAACAGTGCCATTTTACGTAATTCTAATAATACTTGGCTCTTCGTTACTGTGCTTACACATAATCACCTATGCATTATTTCGTTGGAAAATTTATCGTGCAGAAAAGTGATATATTCATATATATTAGTTAATATTCATCTCAAAAAAGAAAGTATGTTTTAAACAAAAAATTATCTACTGTGCAAATTCTCTTTGTAACAGTGGCTAGAATGTAAAGAGAAATGTGGAATTAGAAGTATAAAAGGTTGTACAAATTTTTTATAATTAAATATATAACATGCTCAGTAATAAAAATAATATAATAAGATTTATTTTCTTAACTGATTATGACGATAGCGTATAACGATTGTTATGTATAGTACAATAAATTAAGTATGACAGTATAATAAAGTTAAGTAACTTAAGATACTAAAAATGAATAATCAATGTGTTAACTTGGCAAAATTAGCAAGAATGTCAAATCGATCAATAGCTCAGAATTTTAATTTAATTTTTATAAATAATGCAACAAAATAATTAAATGTTGCAATTTTAATATAATTAACTTATAGATTGCATTTAATCAAGCACGATAAATCGCGTTATGTGCCATAAGTTTCAAATTTTTTCAATAATTAAATCTGTAAAAATAGTATAGTAGTATCACCAATGCAAAAAAGTTTTTACAGTGACAAAACTACAATTTACAATATTAATTATTATGATTTACATAACTAAAAGTTAATTTATAAGAAGATTAATGTGAGAAATTTTCTTTAAAAAATGTTTAATAAGCGACAATTATTACGCATTTGTTGTAAGAAAGTTGTTTTATAGAAGAATGTTATTTTAATTAAGATACATATCATGAAATTAATATGACTGACAATTTATTATTTTATAAAATATAATGTATACTTATTATAGCTTATATAAAAATAATGATATAAAGAGATTGTATCAGTTAAAAATAAAAAATATTGTTTGTTATAACTTAACAATAGCTGTTGTGTGTAAAATAGCATAATAATAAAAATAATTTATTAAAATTCCTATTAATTCATTTTTTATTTGATAAATACTTAACTTTAAACATAATTAGCTTTAAATTATAATATTACGTACAATATGTACAATTACACTATTTTATCGTGAATTCTGATGTAAATTCTAAAATGTGTAAAAAGTTTTTAAAACTAACCTGATGTACATAGAATTTGTCGCGTAACACAATAAGACTGCAGTGGAATTGTTTGTACCAATATGTGAAGGCTACAATAATTCAGAAAGGTATATATAAATGGTTCAGATAATGGATGCGCTCAACTACTTATATTATATAGTTCCGATAACAGGAGTTAATATTTAAAAAAGTTTTCCAGTTGAGGACGTCGCGCACCTATATTGGTCTAGTTCACATCGATTATTTGATATGTGTACTTTTGATTTATAATAAATATTTTATTCATAAGGGGCCGTCCATGTATTATACGTAAGCATATTTTTGGCCATTTTTTATCCCCCCTCCCCTATGTAAGCAAATATCAGAATTTCTGAACCCCCTCCTCTATAATTACGTAAGATTTTCGCGATTACGCTCAATGTAAAGTTAATATTGCTCGTTTTTCATGACAGCAGACATGACAAATTTTACGTAAAGATATATGTACGACCCCCTCCTCCTCAATGTTTATTTGTCAGAATTTAATCTCCTCCCCGCGCCTATAGTCATATGCTTACGTAATATATGGACGGCCCCTAATAATATAATTTAATACAATAATGATATAAACGATGGCGTATCTAGATGGTGCAATTAATATAAGCATCAAAAGCTAGAAACGTATATCGAAAAATATACATTATACATTTAGTACATGATGTGTAGTTTGTAAGTATTCTAGTTATTATAGATTTTCAGTACTGACAGTAAATGCACTCTTAATAATGACATTAATGTTTAAAAACAATAAATTTAATCTAACTTTCCATAAAAAAATATAAAGAAAAACTTGTTCTATATATGTATATGATGCGTATATACAATTTAGTTTAGAGAGTTCAAGTTTTAATATTTTTATTATTACCTATAATTAAATTACCTTTAATAAATAATTACTATCGAATAATATAAATTTAAAATCTAATTAAACTTATTTTTAAAATAGTAAACAAATGATCGTTACTTTTCAAGTAACAGTAACGGTAACGCATTACTTTTTTAACGTCAGTAATCATGAGTTATATAACGGTAACGAATTACTTTTTACAAAAATAACGATAACAGTATAACGCATTACTTTTCTAAGGTAACGTTCCCAAACAGCTTTTTGATTAAAACGCGCGCGGGTATATCCACTCTGTTATTTAGTTTCACTGTGTTTTCTTACCTTCAGCTGGAAATGTCGATTTCCTAGACTTATATACCACAAAAAGTCCACAAATGTGTGAGATAAATTTCACCATTAAATTCATAGATTTCTCATCCATATTACTTTTATTTAGCAAATTAAACATAAATAGTGCTGATCAACATGAATAACAAAGTTTTTAATTTTTATCGATAACGGATTGGAAGAGCTGCTTTTGTCAGTCCTCAGTTTATTTTAGCTAACTTATCGACTTGAACTGTCACAATCTTAACCTCTTTTGCCTTCGCAAACGTCAAACAGTGTCAATTTTCGTAGATATCATTGTTTATCAGGTAAGGTGTTCTTTCTTTGCACTATTCTGTCAATAAACATCATTACGATAATGCAGTTTAACATATCACGGTATTGAATAATTCACAGTATGCGAAACAAGTGGATATTTCTCCAACAGTTGTGCTTTTATAGGTTATAATATTGGCAAAAAGAAAGGAAAAATAAGGAAAATAATATAAATTAATATGAGAAATTAGCATAACATAATAGACAGAAGAATGAAATATTTTTCAGTCTTGTACATCTTATTTTCACATATTTGTAGCTAATGTTACATTCACGAGATGTAGGTTCTGTCAATTTTTTTTCAATTTATTCGCTCATAAACGATAGCATTTAAAGCACATTGATTATCAGAATAAGCCACAAAGTCAAACACGATGTTACAAAAAAATCTCTCCACTTTTTAACTTATCCTCGTAGAACACGAAGAACATTTTACATATCGACTATGTACGCTAGTTAACTCCTAATGTTTATATTCATTTGCATTTGCTTAATATATGTTACAAATTGCGTTTTCGTAACTTACAATCGAAACTTGTTCTCTCCATGCATTTTCTCTTGCATATATTTAGAATTTCGGCGACGCTTGTACATGTATAAACAAATAAGTTAACGAATTTAAATAAGTTATACAAATATAGATTTAATTGCCGTGAGTACTCAGGAAAGAAAGGTGCTGTATTAACAACATTAGTTGACAGTAATCTAATTGAAAATAATCTAGTTAATTCAGTGACAGTTGCTGTTAGTTAATGCTGTCAATAGAAGATCGTTTTTTTTATCCGTATATGTAGAGAGATTTTCCTCGAGTTAAATTTTCGTACTTGTAGAATGAGAATTCCTCTCGTACCTGCAAACTTTTTTTGTTGATGCAGTCGAGTTTTTTTTTTAAATGAGATTATCTTTATTCTCCCAGATATATCTTACAATATTCGTTGCATGCTTCGACATGCGTTTGTCAGTTGAGAAAAAGCTGAGTCATCGGATTGCCGTGTTTCACAATCAGAAGCAAGTCGAATCGAATAAGTTGTGGGAAGATATATTCCCACAACTTGCCTCGCTCCTCTCTCAGCGTTCTCGGAGCGTCGCGAAGCTAACAATTATGCCTTGCTGAACATGTCCCTTACGCGCCTACTGCATCGCATCCGTCTCGAGTGAGACACCCCTCTGATTTCGGCTCATTCGTTTTCCTCTGGCCACGTAGTACGGATCGTATTTCGCGAAGATTTCCTCGAGCATACCGGGCCGCGGATCGCGTCGGTCTCGCGGTGACAGTCGCTCGTTCGACAGCCGGTTCGCGTTCATGCCGCAGTTTTCGTCGTTGCATTTGGACATCTCCGTCAGTAGCGTTCGCAGAAGGCCGTCCGCGACCGGGAAACTCAGCGCTTTAGCGCGCTCCCCGTCGTTCGTGTTCCGCGACCTCGGCATCGACGGGAGGTCGTCCCTCCCGAAATCTTTCTTACCTCGGGAAATAAAGTAAGGCTCGGGGCTTAGGGTCCAAATATCTGGACCACTGTGCTTGTCTCTTCGCTCTAAAGACAACGAATCCTGAATCTTCCTCCCGATGTCCTTCAACCATTCATTCCGCTGGAACTGCGATTTCATCCTGCAGGCTTTGCAGATATTACGCCTCTCACGTAATCGATAATTCGTCTTTGCCTTTGCTTCGAAGTTTTTCGAATTGAAGTTAATTGCGTTCGTTAACTGTGAATTCGCTATTCCTACATTGTCGTTATTAATTTCAGATCCGTCTTCCTCATTCTTTGCTGCCCCTTCGTTTTCCAGTTTCTTGCGATGCGCGTAATGAAGTTCCCACGTTCGTTCGATGAATTTATTACCATCTAGATCTTTCTTATTCAAGCTTTCGCTGTTAATCGAATCTTTATCTCGAGATAACGTGAAAAGATTATCAGGTGTGCCTAGATCGTTCAGCTCGTTGATGTAAACTTTATTCTTTTGCTCGTATGTTTCGGTCTCGTTCTTTTCGACATCTTTCTTAGAATACACGCTACCGATCTCTCGTTTTTTACGGATTTCGGGGAGATGATGATTTTTTAGTAACACTGACTTTCTATTCGTGTTAATAGTAAAATAACTTTTGCTATCATCAAGTCTCTCTATTTGATCGATCTTCGCAGTTTTGCCGCTGCCATTTTCAGTATTATTGGGAATATCTTCGCGCTGTATCTTCTGTCTTTGCTCAACAAAGTCTGTGATTATGTCTCCATTTCCGGAGATTTGATTTTGCTTTGTAAATTTATATCTACGCGACGATCTATTCGCCAAATTCTTTGGATCGACTTTTTCGTATATTTTATTAAAGACATCATAATTCGCAGCCTTCGCCTTTTCGTCTTCCGATATTTTATTGATTTCGAAGGATTTTTCGCCTACATTTTCTATTTTGATGATCGCGGTATTATTTGTGTCTCGGTCCGTATCTTGAAGAGAATCATAGTGATCTCTTTCTTTCATCCGATCGTTTCTTTCATCGGCCGTTTCATCCTGAGATCCTCCGTTCGTCCTGGCGGATCTTCTCACTCGATTCTTTATCAGCAGTTTTTTGTTTTTGCTCAAATAATCGAGAGTCGCTTCGTAATCCTCGACAGTTTTGTCCGCCTGCTCCGGATCGTCAATTCTGTAAATTTTCTTTCCCCGTGTCAATATGTAAGGATCGCCGTTATCCAAACGCTGAGAAGAGTCTATATAGTCAACGTCGATGTCAATCGACCTTGGCTCGTCCACGTAGAACGGTTGTTGCATCTGCCAGCCCTGGTTGTGCTTACAATAGCTCTTCCTTGTCGAGCAGTCCTCTTGCAGATCGTTGTCGGTGTTCTTCTCCTCTTGTATGCCGATGGAGATTAAAACTCTTGGTTTGGTGCCGTCAAGTTTTGACTTGTCGGAAGATAAGTCAACCTGTGCAAACCGCGCCAAATCATGCCGCCTGTAATGAAATTATAATATATCTGGTTTCTCATTTGTCTCAACATTTTATTATTCATACTGTGTTCTAACTGTACTCGCGGCAATTTTCTAAATCAATTTCGATCTTATTTTGTCGAAAATTTTATTATACTCTATTTTTAACGTTACAATAAAGAATTTTAAATTACAAATCTCTTATATTAATTAAGAAATAAAGAATTAAAAATTAATAAGATTTTATTTTACTTGCGGCAATTTTCCGAATCAATTTCGATCTTATTTTATCGAAAATTTTATTACTTCATTTTTAATGTCACATTTATAAGGAATTTTAAATTACAAATCTGTTATACTAAATAAGAAATAAAGAATTAAAAATGAATAGGATTTTCTTTTTTTTATAGTTACTTAAACGCTGATATCCAAAAATCCTTCATTTTTACATCGATATATACTATTTCTGATATTTGATATTTTTGTAATAATACATGAATGATATATAAATTCAGACATATATAAAATTTTTTAGTTAAATTTTTAACGCAGATAAGCAACTATTGCCATAAAAAATGTTACTGTTTTTATATTACCTGATGACTGCCATTAAAGGCAGTTTTCTTGATTCGCTAATGAATCGCGTGTCTGAAATTCGAGGGAACTGTCTGGCGTCGTCATAATTGAGGGACTCTTCTATTTCCAAAGGAATATCTTTCCGTGGTATTCGCTTTGTTCTTCTATTCCATAGTTGCTTGTCGCACATCCATGCCGTTTTCAATCTTGGGTGGTCTTCCATCTCAAAACACAAAATCAATTTTTTATTGCTAAACCTTAATAAATCAAATGATAAATAACTTTCTATTTTTCAATCAATTTCTTACACACATTATTATTAAATCTTAATAAATCGAACGATGAATAATTCTCTATTTTTGAAGTCTATTTTCTTTGTTTCACTTAAGTCAATGTGCAGCACTTCATATATGACGCGTTTTCATCTATTTTTGTAAAAACAGTTGTAATATATTGTTCTAAAAATGGCTATAAACAATGTTTCACTTACCAGAATATTTTCGGACACTGCCATTGATAGCAAGGTTGTGGCCAGCAATATTTTCTTCATTGCTGAAGGATAAAAGATTTATATCGCGCAGATTATATATACCTTTTTGCTTCGTAATATGATTTAGCATAATGTAAGAAAGCTATGATTCTGTTATAACAGTCTTATTATTTCAGAGTGTCCCTATTATGAGTAAGAAAATATTAAGATAATTATTATAAAAAAATATTTAGTATCCAATTAATTATCTAATTAATAAGATTATAAATATCGACGTCTATTATATCGGCATCCAACTGATCCAATTTTATCCATCCTATTTCATTAATTATTTAGTAGAAGAAAAGTGTACAAAGTATTTTGTTACAATCAGTTAATGATGAAGCTAATGGATTCGTTAGAAGAGTTTAATGTAGAAATTTGAGAATGAACAAATAAAAACAAATTGAAAAAATTGATTTATTCATAATCTTATTAACATAATTAATATCGACAAATTTAATAAAATTGATAACTTTGTAATTGATATATATTTCAAACTATTATTATGGAAATTAATCAACATAAATTGTCGATCAAAATAGAAGCATAAAATTATTATAATTATTATCTTGTTAGCTTTTCTTAAAAAAAAAACTGTTAAAAGTTTTTAAAAAACGATCTTTAGTTGATTTATATAATATAATTTTGTATAAAATCACGGTTTAGTGAAAAATGGAAGATCGCGGAAGAATTCGCCGTTTTCCGAGCCAATTATCGGCATCCCTTACCTGTTGCGGCGTTCACCTGTTGGTGGTGAGTGTCTCCGACGTTCGCGAATTCCTCGACTAGAATGGCGATGGGCCGACTCGCGTCCGGATATTTATGTCCGCTGGTCGAAACTCCCGTGGGCCATCCCGTCGCGGTCGAAGGATTAGGCGGATTGCATGGGGAATTCGTTCACCTGGCGCGGATGCCCCACGCCAATCTACTCTGCCAACGAGTGCAAACATCCTGACGTCCACGTCCACTCACTTCCCCGCCGTCGTAACGTTATGATGCTTATTGTTAGAAACATTATCGGTGTGTGTGAGAGCGAGGTATCGTTAGGGAGCAGCGTGGCAGAAAAAAAAGTCACCCTGCTTTCCACCCCGAGGGCCCACGCGGTGAACCCGTGGCCCGCAGTAGACGTCGTGTGATTGACTGACGTAGATATCCGCCACAGTTGCACGATCAGGATCGAATGCTCGACGGTAAAGTTCCAAGTTGATTAAACGTTTCATCGAACTGTATAGGATAAATCAACACGAGAGACTCAGGATTTGATAATTCGATAAATAATTATAATTATTAGATTTAGGAGAAATAATCGTGACTTTTTCGCTTTCGCGCTTTTCTTATTTCTGAATTTATCCTGGCTGTGGAAAAATTTCTTGTCACTTGTATGAAACTGTTATTTAGGTCTTTTAATACTTAAAAAATTTCACTATAATTCCTGAAAGTTCTGCATGATTTTCAGGTGAAACAAACGGAGTTTAGCGTGAGCACAAACTAAGAAATTAACAAAAATGGTAAGAGAAAGAACGCGTTATAGCGCAATTATTTTTTGTTAACAAGTATACTTTTTACGAGTTTCGATGCTTTTTTACAATATTTAATTTATTATTAGATCTCACAATAGCGAAAAATAATTGCGCCATAATACTTATAAGCTTTTAAAATATATCAATGCATAAATTTATGTGTTTTCTAATTATTACTCAAAGTTTTGTACGTATCCAGTAAACATTTGAAATTTATTTTAATTATTAATAAACTATGAAACACACATATTAATTTTAATTAATTTTGTTAAGCATACTTTTTATGAGTTTAGATGCTGTTTTACAATATTTAATTTATTATTAGATCTTACAATAGCGAAAAATGATTGCGCCATAACACTTATAATATAAGCTCTTAAAATATATAAATGCATAAATTTATTAAAATAATTTTATAATTTAAATGCAATATAATATACAAATCTATATTTTATACCAGAGATTTAGATTTCTCGGCGATGGCGACTGTCCAGACTGGTTGTTGGCGGAAATCAACACGCTTTCGCGAATGGTATTATTCAATTTTTTTTTTCTCTCTCTGGAGTATATTCTTATATAAGACCCTTATATAATATTATATTAGATTCTCGATACGTTTATATACATACATTATACATTTAATAAGATAAAAGATATTCTGAGAAATTTGTTGGAAAAACATGTTGAATGTTTTATTTCTAGACTTCAATTAAAATGAAAATGCTAGGTCAAGCAGTAGCTAAATATTTGACCGAAGGAGAACTTGATGTAAGTAAGATTGCAATTTTTGTATTTTATTTGTTTTTTATTGCCAACACTAATACGGAAGCCAATAGAAAAAAAATTTTTTTTTTTTTTTTTAATTTATTATTTTGCTAAAACTCGTGACAGTATGCTGAGATTTGCTTTCCGATTATACTGAATACATTTATTTTGGATGTAAATTTATATTAATCGGTAGATTGAATATAAAATAATTTAAGTTGAAATAAAAAAAAATAGTTGAAATAAATAATTGAAGTATTTAAATTATACGCATATATTATACCTATATTTTTTAATCTATATTTCGAGTATATGACAGATCTCTCCTCAATTGCATTATATTCCATTTTTCTAGGAGGAAAAAATTAAAAAGATCACACAAGACGCCAAACTTGGTGCGTTTAACTTCATGTATTTTAATGTAATCGCCAAATTAAACGATGCTGATGATAAATAGCCGATATAAAAAAGAAAAGAAAATGTTGACATTCATTTTATTTATAGATGTAAGCGACGCGAAGGCAATGGTAGCCGCCCTCGAATTGATATTCACATCTTCCGCCCGATATGGCGTTTCCGCCGCCGACTTGAGCAGCGAACTGCAACAATTGGGGCTTCCGCGAGAACATAGCACAGCTGTGGCACGGCTTCACACAGACCACTGTCCCCAGATCACGGCCGTTCTTTCATCTCAGTCTTTAAGAGGTGCGCGCTCTGTGTTTTTACAGGCCTAAATCAAAGAGATGTGCTATTAATATCAAATTTAACTTTCCAAAAAGCTCGTCAAAGCATATGAAAATTATTAGATTTGTTTATCATTTATATCTGGGAATATCTTCTCGATTACGTCGGATGTTTTTGATCTACACAAAAATTTAGTTCCAACTTTTATATTCGCAGTCAGTCGCTTGTCCTCCATCGAGGTACTACCTTGCGACAGCTCATCGCCTGTTTCCGCTGTGACGTTGAAATTGAAGAAAGTAGATGGAAAAGAGGAAGACTCTACTATAAATATCTCCAAAGATGATGTGCAAGTTTTATTGAAGGGTACGTTTATGGTTTAGTTTTAAAATGGTTTAGTTTTAAAAATTGCAAAAGTGGCTCCCAGAGAAAGAATAGCCTTTTTTTATCGAGATTATAATTGTTATAAAAAAATCTATTATACATATATCTGCTACAACTTTTCAATTTCGTACTGTACGCACACAGATACTTGATTTTGTTTTTACACATTTTATAACGAAAGACATTCATGTTTTTCTTTTTCAGAATTGAAAAGAGCAAGGGCGCTAATGGAAAACTTGTGAATATTAAATAAAATAATATAATTGCTGCATTTTATAATATAATGATTGTGATATATTGATGAAAATATTTGCTATTTGTCAATAAATATGTCGTATGGAAAATAAAATTCTTTCCAGGCCCTTTTAATTCCTGGCTCCCGCAAGATTGATCGGAGGAATCGAGGGAAATCGAGCGCGCCAAAGCTGTTCATCGAATAATTTACTTTTATTCTCTTAGTAAATGAATATACAAAGTTTACATTTAGTTTATTGGTTTATACGATGCATTGAATAATATTGATACGTTGTGACGATAATAATGTCGCTGTTAATAATCGCGCGTGTCATTCTTCCCTCTTTCTTCGCTGCGTTCATATTCGAGCACGATGTGTGTCAGAACGTATCGTCGATCACTAAAATATCTATCGGAACTAAAGCGTGCGCGCAAGGAATAACGCAGATCATTCGTTCGGAACGTGTTGCGTATCTCCGTATACATCGTTCCTTCAGCCTTCACTCTTTAATTTTTCTCAATTTGCTGAGAACGCGTTACCGGAGATCGCACGCGCAACTGAACGAAGTAGCGATATGAAGCGAATCATCCTGCAGGCGGGGTGGGAGAGGGAAATGTTCTCCAAAACTTTAGGCCAGCGTTACATTCTTCGGGAATCGGAAAAAGATTGCGCGAAGCCGAATTCTCGCTTCGGACGAGCTGGAAAACGAATTGTAACAATAGAAGGGAAATCCCTCTCGAATCAACGAGACGCCGTCGATCGGCGTACCGATACTCTGACCGAAAAAACGAAGTTCGTTCGGGGGAATACCTTTGGCATCGTGCTCCGCGAATATTATCTTTTTTTCTCTCTCTCTCTCTCTCTGTCTCTCTTAGGGCGCGCGCAAAGCGTTAGCGTTTAATCATTAAATTCGAATAAATACCAAGGCTAATCTAATCAGTCTTTATACAGTTATTCGTACACATTTTCGCTGTATATGTGTCCGTCTCTCGCTCGCGCTCTCACACACGCACGCACGCACGCACACATTCGCACTCTCTCGCGGTTCTCCCCATTCGGCGTGACTCTTAAATTTATTTACAAGTGTTTCGGAGGAGCCGTCGATATAATGACACATCGATTAAGCGCTCTCTCGCGGTTATACATACACGTTTCTGGGACGCGACTCTCTGGAGGGCTCTGACTGGCTCTTTCTTCAATGCTCTTGCTGAAGTGGAACCAAGGATTTCGCGCGATCAATGATTAAATAATAAGAAAAAAAAAGGGGGATTTCGATCAGCCAATTTTTCTCTCGGCCCTTCGTCGGTGTCATCTACTTCGTTACCTTAACTCCGTGCAAACGACGGGACTTTATAAATGTTATACATGTTATTGCTATAAAATATTAAATCAGATCTTGTGTTTATTCTTAAATTCCTTATTCTGATTTTATTGATGATTATATTTGATTTTATATGTGTTTTATTTTTTCTCTCTTAAATAAGTGGAAATTAAAAAAAAATAAAAGAATATCAATTAAAAATTTAAACATTCACTCTAAATTCGTTGCAGTAAAAATTGTCACTTTATCATACAGTGAAAGGTCGATTTCAGAGTTTTCACTGCTATGCAGTGATTTTCACTGTATGTAAAAGTGAGTTTTAACTTTTGTTAAAGTGAAATTTTCACTTTAATTAGAAACAGTGAAAAATGTCACTGTTATGGTAACAGTGACATGATTGCAGTAGCACCCATTGCAAGAAAACTGATTAATTAACTGTAGAAGAAGTGAAAAAGCACTTTCTTAGCAGTGAAAATTTTTTGATGGTAGAAAATAATTCATTATATTAACAGTGAAAAGTAATTTTACTAGAGTAAAAAATATAGTGAAGTAATTGCCTAAATGGAGAGCCGACACGGGTGTTGATGTGTGAAATTCTTATCGTTAAAATATCCAACCACACACGATCTGCGCGCCGCACGGTCTGTCGGTCTTAAAACACAGTTCTTTGCATGAAATCGGAAAGTTGTAACAAATTAAATTGACGAACAATTTAATATCTTTCGATGCTAATATGCATCTATAAGATTCCCCTCTTCACAGGCAATTACTTCACTATATTTGATTATTTTTTGGAGCCTATTCCATCTAAAATTCATTAGAGTAAAAAAGTCACTTTACTAGCAGTTAAAATGTCACTGCTAACTGCAGTGACTCAAGTTCACTTTAAGTTAAAGTGAAATCTCACTGCAACGAATTTAGAGTGTTATCTCTCGCTTATTAGGATGAGTATATAATAGATGAGGGCTGTTAATTAATTTAGAAATTTACATAATATCATAGTATCACGTTTGCTAACTAGTTAAGGTACGAGCGATTCAGGGCTCTGTGTCACATGGCAACAGAGATCTTGCTCCTTGCCTCCGAAACGCCTCCGGTGCGGAGCCTTCCTCGACTGCATATTACGGTCATACCTACGTCTAGGTTCTAGCCGGATCTAAAACGAATTAGAGTACGGTCGCTGACGCTAGACGGTAAAAAAATATTTCTGCGAGAGGCAGCTTTTTGTGTCTCGTCGCCGCGCTTGTTTCCCTCGCGCACGTCGATGTCGACTATTATCGGATTTTAATAGCACGCAAGTATAACGAAGCAAAATATCGTCGTTGAGAATGGGGCAGGCATCCCTGCAAAACTTACAGACACAAGCAAAAAATATATAAATATATAGAAATATATAAATACGTGTACGAAATTTTTGTGGATACGAATAAAATAATAGACATGATTTTTTTATAAAGGAGATCGAATTAGGAGAAAGATTAGGAATAGTACAAAAGTAACTTTATATTTTCCGTTCAATCTCATTCTCTGTATATTCAGAAATGCTATATAAATTTTCTATTTAACTCCAAACGAACGGTATACCGCGAAAATACTGTGTCATGATTGATGATTTCGAGATGCGTGCCCGTCGTCAACGATTAACTATTTTCTATGATGGTCGTCGCGATTACGCCGCAGCAATATCCGCCGTTCATTGTGCAGTTATCAAAAGATAGGTTTTTTTTTTCTTTGTGCTACTACCGTTGCTGTGTGCATTCTTAAAAAATTGTATCAATGGCGATTGCAACGGCGCGATCAATAATGTATCGATTGTATATACGCGTGCTAACGCTATCAGGATTCTCCGTTGGATGCCTGATAAATTATGAATGCTGCTCGCAAAAGAAAGTTAATCCACATTATTATTCTTGAAAATATATAATGAATAAAGTACTCGACTTAATACTTAATTTTTTTTTACAATGTTGGCAATTTAGAAGAATCTCCTGAGCAAACTAAAAATATTAAATAATAATTAAAAAGAAAGATTAAAGAAATTTGATTTGTATGTATACGACATTAATAACTTTTATTCAATTTATATAACAAAACGATAGAAAATAAATTAGAGCAGCAAGTAAGTTTTTTAGTAAGCAACAAGAAAGTTAATCGCTAAAAGCTAAAAATATATCGAGGTAAGTCGTATGATCTGAAATTGAAAATTTATTCTTTTTTTTTATTTAAATATATAACTTGAATGAATTGAAGATAAGAGAATATCGCAACGGAGATTTCTTGATAACGGACACGCGCGCGAATGCGTGGAAGAAAGTGTCATGCCGAAGCATTTGGATTGAGAAAAATACGTGATTCTAGCGTTATGTATCTACGTCGAAACAGAATCGAGGGTAGCATTATCGGACTATACAGGGCTACGAACAGGAGAGACAGAATAAATCTTTCCAAATTTAAATCTCAAGTTTCTTCTCTTTTTCTCTACGAAAATTCTCCTCTATCCTCTTCATCTACTAGCGTATTGAAAATAGTCATTAAAAAATATGTTCGCACTACATTGGGTATCATTAGAGCTCATTGATCATTAAGAAGTCTGGTCCAGCCCTTGATCGATGCTTCGTGCTATTGCTTGAGTATCCCTCGTAAATGTCTTCGCGAAATGCATGGTCCTTGCGAGATGATATGTACGATCGGCAATGACAAAGCGCTCGATAAGTCGTATAAAAGTGACGGACTTGCCGTTTTTTTTTTTTTTTTTTTTTTTTCGTGATCAATTGGTCGATCTCTTGTGCTTTGATAGGTGCTTTCCACACAGCTTACAAGACAACCGCGCTTATTCACGGTTCACGGACAAAGAATCGGAAACTCAAAAATCTAAGTCTAAATCTGCACTACGAATCGAATCTATCTCGTGAGTAGCTTGATAAGCCCATGTGAGTATTCAAAATGCCGCTAAAAATGTACTGTTACAGGATGAAATGTCTCCTTGATATATAGTATCAAGATCAATCATTACAACCCATTAGATTTGCACTTGGATTACTCATCACATTTCCTCGTGTAATACCTTAAGTAAATGGAAAGCGCGGAATTTTTTGTTCAGAGTAAATCTTCCCTGCACGATTTCGTGAGCTATTTAATTACCTTCGCTCGTTATAACAACTCCGTAACAGAAATATTCTATGAACAAGGATGAGAACACCCGCTACTTCTAATACTGGAAGATACTTGAAAAATACAGATATTTTGGTTTCATATTGCATTGTCTCATGAAAAGTATGAGTCCCCGAGCAATGCCGTACAAGAACGCGCTCACACTTTCCTTTTTTTTTTTATTGTTGCAGTTATTATCTTTACGGAATGCGTAGAATGCCTTTTCAGCCGCAGCCACATGTCACACTGGTATACAATCGTAATACTACTTGTTCATCATTGCGTCCGTATTTTCATATCGGTGATTACAAAAAGTGTTCTTACGCTCACCACACGCACACAAGTAAGTGCAATACTTCATTTCATTTACTTCGAAAAATGATACGTACAATTTTATACAAAGCTGACAATATATTATAAAACATTTGACAATGACAATAATAATAATAATATAGATAGATAGGCAATAATACATCATAATAATAATGAAGTCAAAAAGATCATATTAATTGACATGAATTGCAAATCAGTGAATTCATTTATTTTTTATTTTTTATAAATTAACGTATTAAATTTATTTATTGATCTCAATTGAAACGATATAACTCCATTTGTCTGATCTTTTTTCCAACTTACGTCAGTTTCAATTATTCCTTCTTAGCCTATCGCAATCTGACGGAAGGCCAATTCGCTGGCTTGTATACGCAATTAAATTCGTTTTCTGTTAGAAAACGAATTTGATTACCCTTGTCGAATAATTACAAATCAACGATATGCATTGCCATCCGTGGTATGCAACATTGTTTTAATATTGATATATATCGTTGGGCGGACAAACTGATTTGTAACAACTTGACTTCCGGAAGATTCGTCGAAGAGTGGAAGGTGAAACGAACGTTGCGTCATATTATGCGGCAATGTTCTGCTGCATTAAATTGCGAGAAAGACTTAACATTGAGGATGCGACGCATCCTTCGTGAGACCAGGTTCTCTACCATCACGCGTCTCATAGAGTGATATATAGTCGCGAAAGAACACAACTTAGAACGAGAACGTATGCTTTATATCTATATCTGTATATATATATATATGTATATATGTATATGTACGTATGTATCGATAGCATACGCACAAGTAAATGCCTAGGTACGAGTAAACGAGTACGGTGATTACTTATATTGACAAAAGGACGAAATAACATGGCAGTCGACGAAACAAGTAAATGTAATTCGAGATCTGCAGATCTCTCTTTCATGATTGAATGGCAGTAAATCGTTCCTCAATCCGCTTGTCATAGACCGCGCTCTCTCTTATCTCTCTCTCTCTCTCTCTTCTCTCACAAGCGCCAACAATTTATTTGAATATATATTGCAAGCATTAAATATAAATATACTCGTTGTATCGTTATAAATTATGTAAATAGAAATGAAGCGAAAATTTTATTTTATGTTTTTCTCTCCCAGAGAGAAGCAATATAAAATGAAATGTACGAAAATTCGCATTTATGTATATGCATTGTGCGCATATACTTTGCGCAATTCTCCTAACGAAAAGATAGAACATTAAAGCTACGAAGGGGTGCTGGGCTGTTCGCAAATAAATAAATAGCACGTATTATCTCCTCGCGGTAAATCTCTAACTTTATATCTTTATATCTTCAGCCCTTGGCTCACTGGGTTTTAATTCTATAAGTAACGGAACCGTCCCTTTTCTGATTGTGTGTGTGTGTATATGTATGTGTATGTGTGCTTATATTAATTTCAATGGCACTGCTAATATCGCACATCTTACGACACGATTACGATCAAAGTGGCAGATTATAGTTACCGTTATCAGGCCATAAAAAGATTCAACGTAACGGTATATAATATTTGCAGCATACCCCGAAAATCTTGTCAAGGCCGAAAATCGTACGACTTACAATCTGCGCTTGTGTATTTTACAGTGACTCATATAAAACCGCTCGCGTATTCGTCTCGCACGTAATTCCTAATTATTTTTAAACATACATTTCATAGAAGATTCGACAAACAAACATTTATTCTCGATAAATCTATAAAAAAAAAGGAAACAAAGAAAAAGACCGAAAGCAAACGAAAGAAGAAACGTATTGCGCATAACTTGAATGTGCATTCCGATGGCTCTTCTTCTTCTTCTCATCTTATCGCATAGTAGCGACTCATCGCGCCGAGTCGCAGAGTACAAACAAACAATTGGCAATGTACAAATTACGTTTTAACAAAATTTACAATTATCGGTGGAAAAAAGATCTTAATCGTCGATACAAAAGCTGTACGAAGAGGAAGGGGGGACGACCCACATGATTTTTCCACATTCTTCTTTCCTTAACCGACTAATCCTTAATTCACTCTATACACGAATTTTATTTAGGACAACACAATAACTTTTTTTTTTCCGTACCGTAAATGGGATAACTATACGTTATTCTCACTCTCGCCTGCCCGTTCTCTTGCCGCATTTAAATGCGGCATTAAGCGCTAATTTCTTTCTGTATTCTCTACCTCTGCCCCCGTGATATAAGGAAATGAGAAAGATGATTTCAGCTATAAGCACACGTCGACACGTATCGAGAGACGTTTGCGCAAACTCGAGAGCCAGCAGGGATTTATTATTACTTATATAATTTTTAAATTGTATTATACTTTTTGAAATCCGCTTTACTTTCCGTTAAATTGTGATATATGTGCATTACTTATACTTTTGCAATAATTAGTTATTGTTGCTTTAGAACTATTTTGCATTAATCCAGACCGAAGTTCTCTTGACCGAGGCATCTATTGTTTTACCATTATTGTTTATCATTATTCCATTTCAGATATCTTCCTTTATTGCTGTGAGGTTAAAGATAAAATGGAATATACGTAATCACAACATACAGGATATGTATGCAACGCGGAAGTGATGTCTTTTAATTACAATTACCTCCATAAGCTACCTGTGGGATATTATATATATAATCATTTATATAGTCAACTTGTCATTTCTTTATGTGTTTACGTTGACGCACGTTGCTCATTCAAATGAATGGAATTTTTCACGTTTGTACGCAATTTATGCAATAAACTCTATGTTAATATCATAGACGCACTTACACAAATAATCGGGTAAAATCTGACCGAGACACGTCGAGATCAGATTGTAAAAAAATAGAGATAACCCGTATTTTAAGGAATGCCACATTTATTATACGTTAATAAACGGCAGAAATTGATATGTCGTTTCGATCTTAATCCGATTAATTTCCTTAAAATTCCGATGTTTGAGCATGCGATATGAAATACGTAAAAGCTTCTTCTTTGATCCATACTGACGAGTAATGCAGCGTATTAAATGTGTATTATAACCGTGTGAGTCCTAGAGATTCATCGATTCCGAAGCAAGATATTCATAAGATACTCCTCTCGAGTTCGCGCAAAGTTTTTCTCTCTCTCTCTCTCTCTCTCCCTCTCTTTGTCTATTACATTTCATCATTCTCATCCATAAAGCATTTGGGGAGATCATAATCGTGACATCGGTACACGCTACGCCTGGAAACTGCGCTCCCCACCGATGTCATTTGTCATCACGAAAATATCAATACGAAAATACCAGGTATCACCTAACGCGATTTAAGTTCGTGACTACGCAGCCCTCGGACTTTAGTGGGGCAAACACGTGTCGGAGTCCCCGCTGCTGGCCATGGAGAAGTTGGCGGAGTCCCGGTCGCTCTGTCTGATCTGCGCGGTGACCGTGAGCTTGTTGTTGCTCTGCGGCATCTGCGGGAAGGTGTGATGGCCCGGCAGAGCCCAGGGCTGGGTATGCACGTGCACCGGCGGGAATCTCTTGACGAAGGGATTGCTCGGGCCAACGGCGTTAGCGTGGAGCAGCCTGACGCCGTTATGATGCGAGGGGAGAGTCGTGTGCGCCGGCACGGTGGTGTGGACCTGCGGCGGCACGAAGGTGTGCCTCGGCACGGAGCCGCAGCTGCCGGTGGAGCCGCCGCTCATGTTCGCCGCGGCCACGCTGTGGGACGCGTGCGGCAGCGGCATCGTGGAGCAGTGGGGATAGGTGACGATAGGCTGCGTGGGATAGTGCGGCAGAGTCGCCGAGGAGGCCTGTATGCGGATGTCGTTGCTCTCGGTGAAGGAGGTCATCCTCATGTTGGTGGAACGGCCGAACGGTTCCTCGTTCGGATTCAGCGGATCCGTGACCTTCGCGCGCGAGAGCTTGCGGCGGATCACGACCGTCGCCTCGTTGGGGTTCTCCAGGATAACCGCCGGGCAGCCGGCGCCGCCGATCTCGTTGCCGGCGGCGTTGCTGTACGGCGGCACGTGGTTCACGTATTGCGGCGAGGAGAAGGACTGGCTGGTGCCGGGGCGACTGGTGGGCGGCGAGAAGGTCATGTTCGCCGTGGGTGGCTGCGTGCCGCGCTGAAGGGAGCAGCTGCGCCACTGCTCGCGCGGCTCCTCGCGCGGCTCCCCGGTCAGGTCGTCCACGCTGGTCGCCCGACGCTGGGAGCTGCTGTGGCTGGCGTTGCTGGCGTTACTCGCGTTACTGTGCACGCCGCTGCTCGACGTCTCGCTGTTGCTGCTGGTGTTGCTGTGCCCGGTCACCGAGCCGGCGCCGCCGCCGCCGCTGCCCACCGTGTCCAGGGGCGGCGAGTTCGACGAGTCCGAGCGTGGTGTCAGCTCGTCGTGCGGCATCCCCGAGTCCGCGCGACGCAGGCACCGCGGCGTCTGGCCGCCGTTCATCTGGAAAGTTCCATCGCTGAGTTACGATTGCGATTTCTGGCTGCGCGGTGTTGTAAAAGCGACGAGAATACACATATACCGCGAGAATACGTATCATAGGGAAGGACGATGCACAAATGTACGTTGAAGTAACTACGTGTAGTCTTCTTTAACAAACTGCGTTTCGTTTTTTTTTTTTTTTCTTTGGACACTACACAGGACACAGGGCTAATGTGGAGTTTCTTCGTGCGAAGTTTTGGACATTGCAAACGATGGATCGAAACTGTCATTACATATAAATTACTATTTGTAAGAGCTATTCTTAATCATGGTCATTTTTTTATCATGACTATCACCAAGAGAACTGGACTTAAAAAAATGTCCTGTTCTCCAGCAGTAAATTAGTACGTGATTTCTCTCACATTCTCAATCGTCAATTGATTCGAGTGTTGTCGCGAATATTCAGTGCAACGACAGTCTCGTGTCCTCGTCTACGTGAACCAGACAATGCGCAGTTAAGGTTGTTAGTACCTGGACATTTGTAGTTAGTGGCGCCGTGACAATATCGGTGGTTGGTGCGGATGTTGGAGTCGGAGGTGGCAGCGGAAGCGGCTCTTCCGCGGGATCGGGTAGAGGATCGGGGGTCAGAAGGGGCGAAGGATCACCCTCCGACGGTTGTAGGTCGCGACTCGCATTCGCGTAGTAAGTCACTTGATCGTCGTTCACGCACTCGAGCAACTGTCAAAAGGCGGCGCCGTTAGTAATTCGAGAGCAGAACGTTTTAGTTTCATGCGATAAAAATATGTAGTATTAGTAGATGAAAATTATTTGTAAAACTGAAGTTGCGACAAGATAGCCAGGCTGCACATCTAGCTGTTAAGCTGTGAAAACTTTGTGTAGCTCTATACATTATTGTATATATTTATTATTATTATATATATATTTAGATATGTAGAAAACATGTCCGTTATTTTGCATACATTAACACACATTAATTAAAAACGCATATGTTAATAAAAGACATATTAAGGAATAAAAATTCTATGCAAAACAATCATAGATATCTATTACATACATCAATAAAGTTATCGCTTTCGTATAATTTTTTTTGTTTCAGATTTTTATGCTCTTATTACGTATCGATGAATTATATAAACTACTTTTTATAGAGTTATTACATACATGTATATTATTCTATTATATAATATTCTATATAATAATATATTATAATTATTATAAATAAGCCATGATATATTTAAGTCATGCTTATTGTAATAAATTATTCTAACAAATTTTAATAATATAATTATATCTACATTACAAGATTAGTGGACAATTAACAAGAAAAAGGCACACGTAGTTAATTGATGTTACGTGAAAGTACAGAAATATCTTTGTGTGTATCTTACATTCCTGAATTTAGGTATACCGTCCCTACGACTTATCGGCCATCTTTGCCACTGTCAAAAGCAAAGAAAATCTCTAAATTAAAAGCGGCGCAGAGTGCAATGAGAAAATGTATTCGGTGCAATCAAATAGAGCACGATAAAGGAACTTCGGAAGTAAATTAAAAAGAATTCTTGAAAAGGAAAGATTGGCAGCTTTATCAAAATGAATGACGTGTATGATAAAATGTATACAAGATAGATTCTTAAAATTAAAAATATTACGTACATTACGCTCTATATGTACGAAAAAATAATTAAAATAATTCTTCTTTCTGTGAATAACTTAACGGGGTGTACATATAGTTTACCTTGTTTTCTTCAGAGGTAGAATCATCGGCAGGGTCCAGCGAGGTAATTAACGGTAGCTCGCGTAACGTGGCGTAATCTCCGTCATCGTCAGGCCCGCCGTCAGCGACGCCTCGTCGGGTTTTTCCCTTATTACTAGAAATCAAAGATGGTGTTCAATCAAATGACGTTCTATGTCTCCGTGCACACAGCGATTGCCGAAGAGATTCAAGAAGGATGGAGAAATAGTGACAGAATGATCGGTTTGGATAAAGTATATCAAGCGGAATAGATATGGGGGGAAGCGGGGGGGCTATACACAACAGATGTATACGCAGAGGTGAAATGCGAAGAAATTCTTGAAAGCTTCGAAATACATGTGAATACACTAGCGCATATAAACGATGACAAGGCACCAGAAGTAAAGAGAAATATCTCAGTCCAAGATATTCGAATTCAAGGCGTTTGAACATTGACAACAGTAATAGATGATAGGAGAAACTATAGTAGAATGTCACAGAGTACAACATGAATCATATCTCAGGTGAATATTGTGTACGTATAGCAAATTGTAGGGATAAGGAGGCAGAATGTCTCAGGATTCAATAGCTCCAGTACATTGTGTTTTATCGAAATAAAGCCCGAGCCTTACCAATATATATATATATATACATATATATATGCCATACAATATTTTATTTCAAAAAAGTTTCTTTTATCTCGTGAAGATACGGAGAGAAGAGAAAATAAGTACTACCACAATCTAATTATAGCCGTTTGAAAGAGTCCGTTTTACGTTTAATATTTCAAACGTGATAAGGAACGTGGATAGAAAGTGCTACTTGTATTACAGGTGTAACGTGGGCAGAGTGGTAAAAGCGTAGAAACAGATACACAAAGACACCAAGAGGAGGGAGGAGGGTAGTTACCGCGAGCCTGACGTACTAGGCAGGTCGTTAAAGGTGACCTTATGCTTGAGCTTCTTGTTCAGCCAGCCCTTGTCGGACGTCGGTGCGCCGCCGGTGTCGCTCGGGGATTGCGTAGGCGAGGGACGTAATTTCGGCCTAAGCCAGTAGATCTGCTCGTCACCGTCAGCCGTCGATTCGCCGTCAACTCCGTCGACGTTTCCGCCTGCAAAAGGCGCGGAAAAGGATAAATCGCTTTCAGGTATTAGCCGCGCGTACTTTCATCGATCAGGGCTTTAAGCCCCCGTGGGCTCTATTTTATTTCACATTCGCCCCCCTCCCCCCCGCGTCCGCTGACTTTTTCGGCGGGAAAAAAGAGAAGGCACTCATCCTTCAAGAAAAATCCCGGAAAATATATGATCAGATATAAAACGACTCAATTCTTTCAAAAATGTCGTTTATCTGGTGGCGCTGAGGTAGAAGCTGATGCGCGATGTCCGGTAAGAGTGCAAATCCGATTTACCGGATTCCGGGAAGGCATACTTCGCCGGTACGTTCCATTACCTTGCGATCGGGCCTTCCTCTCCATGGCGGCCTTCTGTATCACGCTCATGATGGCCCGCTTCGGCGAGGTGTCGGCGATGGTGTAAGTTCTGCCGTTACCGACGACGAGCAAGGGCGCGCTGGTGCCGTCGTCGTCGTCCCGCGCCGAGAGCAAGTCGACGTCGGTCACGAGCTTGACCGACCTCGCGGATCTCACGGTGGCGCGTCCGATGGTCACGCGCAGCTTGAACGTCCAACGTTGCTTGATGGTGAGGAATATCCAGAGGAGCAGCCAGAGGAGGAGATGCAGGATCATGCCGACGATGCAGGCGAGGATGGCGCCGTCCAGGCTGCCGCGGTACACCACCGTGTAGTCGTAGAGCAACGGCGTGCCGCAGATCACGATCGCCAGGAACACGACGAACGCGGCGCAATGCGGCAGGTAGACCCAGCCGTTGCCCTCGCGTCCGTCCTTCGACAGGATCACACGACGTTCGCGCTCCTGATTCAGGAACGCCGTGAACCTGCACATTGCATGACGCGCGATTAAATACCCGTCATATCGTTTGCTTTATACATTTATAATTATTGGTCTGTGCGCGAAGTTAAGTAAAAAGAGAGAACACGGACGAGAGAGAGAGAGAGAGAGAGAGAGAGAGAGAGAGAGAGAGAGAGTTATTCTTCTTCAGAAAAAGAAAACCTCATTTCCTTTGTACATCGCGAATTGACTTTAATAAGCCAAAGAAAATAAGCTCCGATTTTAAATAATTATTATCTGCCGATACGATAATAAGATATGATATAAGCTGTGAATTACATTCAGTTTTCTGAGAACTATCACATTAACTTTATGTTGTAATCGATTTTACGTTAAATTTATTTTATTACTTATACACTTTGAATGTAGCTAAAACGATTGTACCCTAGCTTTAACTTCCTCGTTTAACGCGGACTACTTTTTTTATTTTGTTTTAAATAAATTAAATGGAGTTAAATGGAAACAATGTTTTTCTTTTAAAGATTCTTTCAAGAGATATCCCGCGATACCAATGGGATTGTTAATTGCTATCCTTTGTCGGATGCTATGGAAAGCCGAGAAAGGAGGATTGGGTTGTATTGAGAAAACCATTGAGTTTCATACTGAATAATAACAGTATCGGGGAGTCACGCTTGTCTGTCTTACGCGTACAAGTGCTGTTTCAAATTAGCGAATTAGCAAGTCAGATAAAAGCCGGATAAATGGAAAGTAAAAATTATGGGGTCGTCGAATTCCGCGAGAAAAATATTGCTGCGTTTAATGAAGAAGAAATAAACTACAAGGTGAAATAAATTACAAGAAGAGATGAATTAACAAACATACATAAAAATAATTTATGACATCCTCGTGTTTTCAAAACAAAATGTTGGAGACCTTCCATGAAAAGAATAGATTGACAAGCGTCTGATGCAACGCGTTCTTGCACGATGATCCTCGCGCAATCTAAAGAGTAAACTTGCTCCTTATCTGATAACGGCGGATGGGCCAGATAATTTTCTTTCGCGAAAGAAAGTCCCGGCAAGTAATCTCAGCCGAAGTTTAATCGAAATACGGGCCGAATAAGCTCGCTGTGCATAACAACACGCTAAATATTTACCTGCCATGAGCGTAGAAGTACATGACCATGCTGGAGCAGAGCACTAGAAAGGACGAGAGGCCGAAGAGCACGAGAGTTACGGGGGGATCTAGCAGAAAGTAGGAGTCTCCAAATATTGTCGAAATTGTACTGGTTGTCGGCACGGTGCGATGCCGAAGATGCGGCAGGACTTTCAAGGCACCTACCACCTGGACCTAAAAATATATATATATACTTGATCAAAAATGTGATTTTCATTATTATAAAATACATGAAGAGACAAATGTCTAAACAGATATTAATAAAAGAGATAAATTTTTTCTTCAAAATGTAAAGGACAGCGTTATTTTATTTAAATATATATTGCAAAGTTAAGGAATTGATCATTTTTTTAGATAAGATTAAAATTGACACGAAATAGTTACGAAACTTCAGATTTGTATTACTAAAATTGCATCAATTGTGTCAATTTTAATAACGGCTTTGCATTTGCTTTCTGAATTATTAAATGGTTATTTCTCTTTTAACTTATACCGACAAATTTCTGATGTTTTTCGAATAAAACGTAGGCGTCGTATTCTACGATACATTTCTCGGAGGAGACTTTCGACGTTTCTCGGATTCCTTAGCGTTTCATTAACTTTTATTAAGTTTTCTTGTATCCGCAGAGAATATCTCGTGTATACGCGAGACCGACTGAGACGTTAGTCCGAAGTTTCCCGTGAGTTTTAACTGGCATCGAATACTTTGCGTTGCTTACCTTGTAAAGGACGGACATTCCAGCGTAAGCCAGCAGACTCTGCGCTGAATTTATGACCAGCTGCAGACTGAAAATCGTGCCCAATGCTTTGTTGCACGACCAGAAGACGGCGGGGTACCTTACCGAGTAGACGCCGAGCGCGGCGGCGTAATTTAGATATTCCAACGTAATCGGGCCGTATGACTCGGCTGAAAAATGAAGTACGCGACGTGTAAATAATCTCGTTTTCAACGAGCGCGTATTTCCGCGATATTTATTCTATCACGGTGCGAAGTCAAATTCAACTACCGGCGCAATTTTACAAGGTATTACGAAAAAAATTACGCGCCACTCAACTTATTAATTTATACTTTTATGTCATCACACGTTTTATGATAAAATAAAACCCTTTTTTATTTAGTGTCTTCAGTAATTATTTTTTATTATTTTCGTAACGCTTGCAGCTTCATTGGTTTTTGCTCTAAAAATATTTTTTAAACTAAAAGATCTCATTTTTAGATAAAAGGTAATTAATTCTCTCCTTATTATAGCTACGTCTTACAAATATTATACACACTGCAATCTATATTTTCATATCTGTAAATATTATTATATTGTATTAGTTCCTCATAATTGTATATAAAGTTTTGTATATAAAGATTTTATATAGATAGCACGTATTTTAATACATATTTAAAAACTTCTCGGTAACACATAAAATATTATTATTTAATTTCAGTTAAAGTTCGGTTGTAAAAATTATTAAATACAATAAGCTTGCAAAATTATAACTTAAAATATTTTAGATGAATTTTATCAAAGATAAAAAAAATTGTATTGTGTATAATGATTTTGCAATGCAAATTGCTATATACAATTGCAATAAAAATATCTAAAAAAATCCGTAAAAGTTTTTAAAATGTTAAAATGTGTTTATAAATCCTTTGGGTTTGTTTGTTATTTAATATGCAAAAAAAATAGAAATATTTTTTCATATTTTTGTGCATATTATGTGATAAATAAATGATTTATAAAAACATTTTGACATTTTTAAAAAACGTTTAAGAATTTTTCGGCGTATTATTTTTGTTGAAACTGCTGTTGAATAATTAAAATGCTGTTAAATATTAAAAACGAAAGCGTTACAATTCAATGTGTAGATTGAGAATTGGTTTACCTGTTTGCAGTTCCAGATTCAAATTTTCGGGATGATCAAGATCGGCCAGACTGTTCATTGTTAATGACATACTTTGAGCCGTCATGTTACCATCGACGACTCTGGCGGGTTTAGCTGTGGTGGACAACCTCATGAGATTCTTCACCTTCGATCTGCCCTTCGAACTACCGTTCCTGGTGAGGGGTCTCGCAGTCGAACGTCTCGCGGTGCTATTTTTCGGCAGCGATGCCATTTTCGGAGTTGTCGAAATCACTTCGGTGCTCGCCGTAGATTTGCTAGGAATCGTACTAGGGGACGAGGTGTGGGATAAAGGCGGATCTGTAACAATTGGATAGAGAACAGTCCAGAACCGAGTTGTCTCGGTTCGAGGCTCGACAGTATCTGGAAGCGCCATGTTTGTTAAACTAGATGTTGGAGTGGTGAGTTCATCGAGGTTCTCGTTAATACCATCCTCCAGGGTTACGAAAGCTTGAGGAGTTACTGAGCCAGTCATTGTACTCAAGTTGCCGATCGGATTCATGAAACTTAGCAACACCAAGCGATCGCGATGTATCACCATCCAGTCCAGATCGGTCCTCCATATGGCATCTGTAATGAAATAACAGAATATCTACTTGAGTAAAATAATTTAATATCAAAAACCCTCTCCACAAATTTTTAAATTGTTAGTCACAAGGTTGTATTGTGTAAAATTGTGTAAAATATACTTTAAAGTGTTCAATATATTAAAACATTATTTTAGAGATCATGCGTTTGTTTGGAAGTCTCAATTTTGTTCGTTTTTTTAACAAGAGAAAAAATATACGATTGAGAGAAAAAAATATACGATAAAAAATGAACGTAATTCATTTAAATAATACACTTTAATAATACTGTTGTTAATAATTATTATTATCAATAATATATATATATATATAATTTTTTTTTTTTTTTGTAAACTTCGGTGAACTTTTATTGCCTTAATATATGGCTGTCAATTTCCTAGATTTTTCAATTTTTTTGCGAGACGTGATTCAATTATCCTCCAGCCACTCAGCTGGACGACCTTTTTTGCGATACCCTGCTTTATAACTGGTTTTATTGCATACGGTAAAGCGATGGTGAGCTCGAAAAGGGACAATGGCAGCACGAAACGTTTCTTCGATCGAGTGACCCTCGAAGAGTCTCGTGGCAGAGTGTTCCAGAAGAGATAAGTGTCGTCATGGTACCGACCATTGATTTGCGTTATGTTTGGTCAACACTAGACAGTCCGTGTGTATTCAATCGCAAAAAAATTAAAATTAACGAAGAAATTATATTTAATATAATTATTGATAATTTCTTATTTACAGTTTATAAACGTCACATTATTAATATACGGAAAAAATAATGTACTAACAGCATCAGTTCAATTGAAAATAATCTTTATCAATGAAATAAATCATTATCAATGAAATTAATGAAATAAATAACATTTCATTAAAACAAGAAGATGTATTTGTTTCATTAATATTATTATTAAATTAACAAAATTTTAATTATATATTATAGATTGCTATTAGCTAATTGCTGTTAACATAACATTTTTCTTCGTGTACCCAATAATTGCATAATTAAAATACAATAACACTAATTGTAAAAATAAAATAAAATTGTAAATAGAGATTTAGTGAAAGCAGTTAAATTTAAAATGAGTACTTGCATGATTTTTATTCGACATAGTTCATATTTAATAAAATATAATTACACATTTTTAGTGCAATGCCATGGAATCAAGTTCATTTGCAATCAAGTTCTTTTCTCACGTGTTCCGGCTCATTAAACTTTCACTTGCCACAGCTTTCACGAAAGTTTCTAAAAAAGCTCTGAATAGATATTGAAGCGCGAAAAAAAAATACCAATATATCGATTCCCTGCCTGGAACAATTCACTCCCCTCTGTCTCCAGCATTGGTAAGAGTTCTTTTTTTCGTCGCCACGATTTATCGTAAGGTGCTTCTGGGGTTCTCTTAAGTTTCGTTTTTGTCTTGATCTGTTTCTTATTGGCTTCGCTTTCATTCCTGCCGCTTTTAGTCGCCTTTGAACTTTGCGCGAACGTTATCGATTCAATTGAACACATCGGGGAGCAAGATTTTATTGTTAGTAACTGCAGTATCAAAAAATATTCTTATATTTATCGCTATTTTATTTTACTACGCGCATCCGTAAGCATTATGTATATTTTCAAGAGATGTAGCATCAAATTTTAAGTAATAAAATATAAAACCGTATCGAGAAAATTTCTAATATTAAAATGTAAAAGTTTTTACAAGTTTGTCACGATTTAATGAATAATATAAAAACAGCAAGAAATTTATGTGGTATATGACATTTCTTTAATATAATTCTTATAATAGATGTTATAGTAGTCTTATAATTGAAATCAAATGCAATAGTTAGGTATTACAAATTATATGTGTTTGTAGTAATATACAACTTATTTACATTTGTTTTCTTTTAAAGAATTTTACCTTTTTATTTCCATTATATTTGATACGTCTTAAGATAATCGGATGTATGATCACGTTGAATTAATTTTTTTTTTTTTTTTTTTTTCACAAAATTCATCGTGCTAATATCCTGTACTAGACGAATGCCGCGTTGAATTAATTTTATCGCCGGCGGAAAATTAAATCTGTCCGTCTCAGTAATTGGTTTTAGTTAATGAGCCCTCGACGAAACTTTGCCGTCTGACATAATATTCGCTCGAATATAATATTGCCGCGACAATATCGACGATTCACGTCGAATGATTAAATTTTAATTAGAGCTATTTTCGACAATGTCCGAGTAAATGATGAAATTAGAGAACTCTTTTGCGACGGATTGTAATCTAACTAGATGATTCAAAAAAAGAAATAATAATTATATTTAAAATAGAAATAGAAATTACATTTGTCGACATTTTTTACGAAAATAAACCGTGCTTCATTTAATTTGAAATTATTTGATTTTATATATTAATATGTTGATGTAATAAAAAGAGATCTTTTAAGTTCGTGATATTTTGCTCTTTCGTAGTTTAAACATATTAAATCGTTAACGCTGCGAAAACGTTTAAATCCAGCAAGTTGTCGGATTCAGCGGGTCAAAACGAGCGTAAACCGCCGGGATCCCATACGTGTGTTCATCCGAGTGTTCCCGATTCTTCCGTAAATGGACAACACAGAAACGATGAATGCTGAGAGAGCGAAAATCGCGCGGGAAATCCAGACGAGAGAAGGCACAAAGTCGCGCTTAATTGACCGTCCCTCACATCCTGACCATTTATCCTTTCCTCGGGGTTCGAAATATTTTTAGCCTTGGAATACGACGTAATTACAGCCGGGGGATTAAACTTGTCTCAACCTCCGAAGTCCCCACGCCGAGGTTCCGCATTCTCAGTATCTTTAATCCCGCCGGGGATGACGTAGAAGGGGTTAAGTCGCGCGAGAGGAGGACAAAAATGCTGATATCCCGCAGCCTTAAGTCAGATTACGTCGCTTTCACTCGACCTTCCCTCGCAGCGGTAGACGCCACCTGGTAGTGTACTTTAATCGCACATAATTGCATCCAAACGAATTGTAAATGTAAAAACGTTACGCAGATACGTTACGGTCAAGCGATAGCATTAGAAATAGCAAAGATTGAAATATAAAAAGCGTTTGCGAGTAAAACTTATCTAATAACAATAATAGTGTCTCCTTTTCCTCTTTCTTCTTTGATTCCTATAATTTAACTCTTATACATTCACTTTAGTTTAAGAGGTTGTTTCAACTTTCCAACTTGCAATAAGGCACATGTATAGAAGAAACCGTCTTCTATTCGAAGTTATTCTACTATATATCCGAGGTGCGTCAATAGCAACCTCCAAGAGGAAGCACAGTTGTTCCTCTTGGAGACCTTTGAAGAGGAAGAACAATTTTGCTCTTCCAGACAGACTTCTTCTGCTTCTTCTTCTTCTTCTTCTTCTTGAGAAAGACTTTCAGAACGGTTTTCTAAGAACTACAACTGTTGAATATCGAACGCACGTATGTTACACGAAAATATAACCGCTCGAGACTGCGCGAAAGTTTAATAAATTGGGAAATTTACCGTTAGTCTTTTACGTTAAGTGAGGTGAAGGGCTTGATTAATTAAAATGTGTTGATATTGGTTGACATTGCGCACTTAATGAGCAATGGCCAAAAACATTTCCGTATAAAGCAACTCTGGTAAGCGTGTTATTGCAAATTTACCAATTCGTGTAATTGTATTATATGACGGTCGCAGCCGATGAAATTTGCATTCTTGGATAGACATATTTAATCGGTTTATTTTACATGTTAAATGGCTTATAAAACTACATCACCGCACGTTTCGAGTATTGCCTGCTTTTGTCATAAAAGTTTTCATTGTTTTAAACAGCCTATCCCTTGTTTGGATACGACATTGTGTTTTCATTTACAACGTATTGCAGTGTGTATCAACTCTATATGTTTTCCTTTCCGTTTATATAGCTTGGATATATTTATAAGAAAAATATAGACTGAATTATCCAAACCTCTCTGATGAAAAGAATTATTGTTGTTAGATTAGCAATGCATTCTATTATATGCGATCAATTTAGTTTTTCAATGCAATAAATTTCGAATTTCAATTCGAATCAAATGTTTGCTATGCGCAGAAATTAGTGTAGAGAATAAAAAATTAGAAAAAAATAATATGCGCATATTTTGTAACAATATAGTGAACATATTAACATATAGATTTTTTGAAATCACTCATCTTTGGTTTTTCTTCCTTCATATTAAATTGTACTTTTTATTCATTTCGATCTCTCAATAATTCAACATACATCTTAAAAGAATATACATATGTATTTAACATATATTCTTTTAAGAATACTGCAAACACAAAATTCATAGACGTCCACTGATTGACCAAACACCTACGCCATCAATATAATAATATCGCACTTTAATATAAACATATTTATTTAATCCTTAAGCATCTACGTGAGACATATAACATATAACTTCAAATTTTAAATTATCATCAGCAAAAAGAGTAGTAGAGTAATTAATAGACGCATTATATTGCTTCAATAAAGAAAATCGTGCATTTTGCTTTTACACAGATGGACGTTGTAACATTTTGTTAAAAAATTACAATAAAAAAATGTTTTACAGAATTGTCGCTTCAACTTAAAAGCCAAGATATTTTAAGTCAAGATATAAGCTCGTTAAATAATTCAACCCTGATACAATAATGCAACTAATCTGCATTACGTAGAGCTTAAGAAATGCAGCTCCTAATGCGCTCCGAAGATAACAGTATGTACAGTTAGACCTCCGGAGATGAGGAATTCTCTTTTTGTTGTAGAGAGCTGATCGCGGGGTCGAGAGAAGTAGACTCCGGTCGTGGCAGATAATCTTTCCTCCGCGCGCGTATGCAAGTCGCGGATACGGACTCACCGAGCTGCTAACGGTCACGTTCAAGTTCATGAATACAGGAGAGAACGACGTCGAGACCCCCGGGCATAGAAGGGTAGCTGCCGGCAGGCAGGTTGCAGCAACCCCCTGACCCCCGACCAGCCACCCGCTTCTCTCC